TTTTCGTGTGAAAAATTTTAGGAGTTTTTTGTTTTTTTTTTTTTTTTTTTTTTTTTTTTTTTTTTTGGGGGGGGGGGGGGGCTAGCTGCCTTTATTTGACAGAGTGGACAGGAAACTAGGTTGTGAGAGCGAGGGAAGACATGCAGCAAAGGTCAAACGGCCAGGACTTGAACCTGTGATGGCCACATAGAGGACTGAAGCCTCCATACATGGGTCATATGCTTTACCCCTGCACCACCACCATACCCAAAAATGTTCCAAGAGTTTAATAAACCTCAATCTGCATACTAAAGACTCTGTTCAGAATACAATTAGAGTCTGATCAATGTTATTGATTTTGAATGCAGTCCAATTTTCTTACAAAAAAAGAAAATAATTTAAAAGTCAGATTGTGTTGTTAGTGTAGTTCTTCTGGAGTATCATACAGATATGTTTTCTTATGGTGCCTACACTGTGCACCATACAGGAAGATTATTTCTTTAATGAAAGGACATAAAAATAAAGAAAAACAGAAAGCATGGCACAACTGACATACATTTTTAAAGACTTTGTGCTGCTTTTTGACAGAATAGTGCATGAGCCATGTGGTATACAGGTATAGGTTCACATAGCCATCAGATTTCTATATTATTGTCGATTACACCAATAAGCTGTTCCATAGGATAAATCTTCTCTCTTTATATTGTAATGTCATTTTAATTTTAGGAAGAGGTTTAAAGTTTATATATATATATATATATATATATATATATATATATATATATATATATATATATATATATACGTTTTCTGAAACCAAAACATATGAATATGTGTCCTTGTATCAAATACAAAGAGAAAAAATGTAAAAGAATGAAATAAATGTATCCCTAAAATGATATGCTTAGGGATCTTAAACTTGCAAAACTGAATCCATTGTATACCAAACAAATTAAGCAACTAGAAAGAGTCTTTAGGATACCTAACCTATTTATCATTTAGATTTATTATCATTATCAAATGCTTGCAGAATTTTGGATAAAAACCCTACATATTAGGCCTTTCCTTGGTTATTTATTTGTTATTCGCCTAAATTAGAAGAAAAAGCTAAAGGTTAACATTTTGGGATAATGAAGACACGCCAGTAAAAAAAAAAAAAAAAGCGCTCAATTCTCAATTAGTAACGCCTCAAAGTGGCACAACTGCAGATCTTTCTGCTGACATTTCGCTTTAATCAATAAATAGCAACTAATAATAGCGTTTTAAGCATGGCCAATAGAGGAGGAGGCTACACGAAAGGGACCGTATACCGTCGCAAAAACAAACGCATGGTCAGTAGAGGCGGACACAAGCTGGAGGACCTGTGCTATATTTAACATCTAAAGCTTCAAACAGTTCCTCTTGCCTGAGGTGGGGAAAAAAAAAAAAAAACAATCAAAATATGAGGAAAAATTCATGCACTGCATATGCATTCTAGGAGCCCTTGTCAAGTGGAAACTGAATTCCTCTGAGTAACATTTACCAACCTGTTCTGCATTAAGCCTGCAGGGCGTGAATGACATGTAGGTGAGGGAGTTTGCATGAAATGAAACCGTTCGCAGGTGCCATGACCAATACTCAAATCTATCTATTTTTTCTAGGATGGTATTCATGAAATAACCCCCTTTTAAACAGAAAGAATAGGCGGTGTGGGTGTGCAGCCTGCATACTGCAGCGTTCAAGGGTATGGCAGTCAAATGTAAGCAGCATCTTTAGGTTAGATCAAGAGGCTGCGGACATGGAAGCGCACCCAATGCGCTTTGTTTTACGCAAAAAGGAAAGTACATAAAAAACCGGATAGTATATTTGAATAAATCCGCAGCTGGAGAGGAACGTACCTAAATGGCGATCTGTAGCTGTGCGGTGTCCTGCTTTCCTCTGGGAGAGATGTGGTTGCTGAGCTTGTGCGCAGCGCTGGATGCGCTCAGACTTCTTTTGACGTCAAGAAATCCAGACGTCTACGGACGTAGTGTACCATAAAATCACTAAGTGTTCTCTCAACAACACGGATCTGCAAAATTTAGTTTCTGGTCGTCGAGCCACCTTCTCTTAATATGGGAGGTGCATTCTTTCTTTCTATTTTTTTTTCTTAGACATCTGCTTGTGCAGAGTGTGTAGGTTCTGCACAGTTTTTAGGGGGATTTCAAAACAGGCACAGCGTTTCACTGTGAATAATGCATCAAACAGCAGCAGCAAAAGCAGCAGCAGCCACTGAGCAGAGAAAATCTTTACTTTTTTTTCAGAAGAAGATCATATTACAGAATAAATGTATTTCTCTTGATTAAACAGAATGTAAACCCCAATCTTAAGGTAACGCCTATTTTCCTTTTTTAACTGATTCAGACACTCCCACTCGTTTCTCTAAGTTAGAAAAGCCTGGGCACACTGTCAAAGATAACTTTATGTAAAGGGTGTGGACAGGCAAAACGTCTGTTGGAAGATGCCAAGAAAATGACAGATTATTGTTAAAAAAAAAGAAGTTGGTTGACAGCATGTTTAACTGGAATATGTGGAGGACTATAATAAATCAGAAATAAACATAATGAATAATAAAAACTTCAATAAGTAACGAAGCTATATCTGCACAGTTTATTGTTATTTTGGTCGAAAAGAATTTTAACTTTTTCGTTATTTTTGGTCTTTTGGAAAGTAAACACAGGAATGTCAATGGCAAAATGGTGTCAAAGATATTATGCTTATTTAGTAGTTTAACAGTGCAATTAATGGCTTCTGTGGTAAGATGTCTAAAAACAGATTGCAGCAACATAATGTTACATTTCAATGTGAGGGGATAATTTTTTAAGGACCATTAGCAGTTTGGGAGCACCGCTGCCTTAGGAGATCTGACTTTGAGTCTTTGGCTGAGGCCTCTAGGTGTTTCTATCTTTACTCACCACGGATGAGGGCGGAGGAGTTTTCTTCGGTACTCCAGCCTGACAGCTGGTTGGCTGGTCTTGGTCTCCCCGAGTCTCTAGGTATGAGTGAGAGTGTGCTAAGTTCTCCTGTATGTCCTTTTGTTGCTCTTTGTACTGATCAGGGTGTAACACACTGACTGAAAAAAAATAAATCTCTTTATGTTCAGCTTTAGATAAAACCTCAGTAAACATTGTTTACAGAATAACTTCAAACCATTTACAGATTATACTAGCCAAGGAAATCTACCTATGGATTTTAAAGGTGTTATTTGGTTAGTGAGTAAAATAACTAATTTTCTTTTTGCAGTAAAACATTCAGTTTTTTGTATTTGCTCTTATATTCTTTTAGCTGTAGTACCCCCTCTACACTCAAGGGGTCAGCACGTCCCACTGACAAACAAACACATTTTCAACTTCCGGACAGGAGTTTTCAAAGAAGGCTAGCTAGCAACATAGCTAGCTTTGACTGTTTTTTGCTCAGGGAATTAAAGTGACATTTTCCGAACTTCGGTAAGATATGCATCAAAAACGTAATATTTTGTTAGTTTTGGACTTCTTTATCTTTTGTGGAACTTTTGTTTAATTAACGTTCTTTTTCATAAAAGCAGCAAGATAACTAGAATGGGATGCTAGTAGCCGCTCATCGGTTTGCTTTGTTTCATTCTAGCCGTAGCAACCCGTTGAACGGTAGTTCCTGCTTTAACTTTGTTCTTGGTGGGGGCGTTAACAACGGATGGTCTCTTGAATTAATCTGATAACAGATTTTTATTCTTATTATTTTATTTGTTTGTTTTTCTGGATCTTTACTTTAGCTAGCGGGCTAGTCTGTTGTTAAAGCAGTCGGCAATGTCGGCGAACTCTAAGAGGAGAAGAGCCACCTCTCCCTGCAGCAGTGTCAGCGGAGGAGGAGATCCTGAGGATGCATCTTCGACCGCTGGAAGCGGCAGGAAGAAAAGGAAGATATCCAACGTCCCCCCTGTTGACACGGTGAGCGCGCTTTTTCATTGCATGATTACACTTAATCTGACTGGACTTGGTTTATCGTAAGTCCCGATCTCAACGGCTGAGTGTGTTTTCCTTTTGCCCCGTTTGTCCTCCAGATCGCTGTGTGCCATGAGCTGTTTAATGCTGTTAAAGACTACAAGGATGATCAAGGGAGGCAACTTTGTGAAGTTTTCCTTAGGGTACCAAAGAGAAGGTAATATTTAGAAGTCCAGCGCCTACTACTATAAACTTACGCTCCAAATTTATTGGTTCAGTCTGAGCAGCTTACTAAAATTTGCCTTGGTGACTTATGTAGCAAGCTGTAAAATATAGATAACATTTCACTTTAACTGTGTTTTACTTGACAAAATAAAAGATAAAACATTAGTAGGTATGTTAATATTACTTTTAAGGTAAGATGATTCATTTTCTTTTTCTTCTTTTTCAGGAATCAGCCTGATTACTATGAAGTTGTCTCCCAGCCAATTGATATGACAAAAATCCAGTACAAACTGAAGTCAGAAGAATACAATGAAGTGGAGCAGCTTACTGCGGACTTTCAGCTCATGTTTAATAATGCTAGAAATTTCTACAAGGTATATTTAATTTGAGATTCTCATCAGGAGTAAATTTGAACCACTTAACTTTGCTGCTATACAGGCTGTAAACAGCATTTGCTGTTAATATGAGCACGAATTTAGTTTTATCTTATTTTGTTTAACCTTTAAAAATAGTAAAATTTAGCCCATAAACTTCTTTTCTTGGTAAAAGCCCAACTATACTGCTACATCGGAACAGAGATTGGGAGCATCCAATTTGATTACAATATATTCTTAATCATAAAGAGGCCATTTTATAACAGAATGACATTTGGGGAAGGGATTGACTATGGGTATTGATGTAATCAAGGCTTTTAATGGGCATTGGAGATTTTATAATTAACTCTCTGCTCTGTACCAAATAGTCAATATGATTTAAATATCTGGTGTAGCGTAGAAAAAAATAAAATAGGATACACAGTGCTGTTTACAAAGAAACCAGCAGATAGACAATCATTTACAGTCATTTTAGCTAAATAAATAGTCCAAGTAAATAGAAAACATGAAATACGGTAATGCATCAGGAGAAGACGCTGTTCTTGAGTCTGTTATGCATTGAGTAGAGCTTCACTGCCTTCTATAGGGAGGGAGTTCAAACAGATACCATCTAGGATGGAAGGGGTCAGAGGACATTTTCGTTACCAAGCTAAGGAAGGTGGCATCATAGTCCAAGAATGGTGGCAGACTGTTGACAATGTGCTAGGCGGTTTTATTCACTCTCTGCGATGCCTTCCTGCCAGTAGCTGAGCAGCCACTGTGCCTCCCTCGCCACATTACCATGTGTGGGATAATGCCAGTAAACACAGCCTGTGCAAAAGAATTGTGACAGTTTTGATCTCTAATTTTTAAGTGTGACTAGTGTGGCTGCACATCTGATGTCCCACCTTATGCTTGTGTCTAATCAGAGTGACAGTGAGGAGTATCAAACAGCGAGCAAGCTGTGGGAAGTGTATTTGCAAACAAGGAATGAATTTGTGCAGCCTGGAGATGGAGATGAGGACGATGAAGAAGGTGACGACATGATGGCTAATCCAGGAATGTCAAATGAATATGAGGTAAGTGTTTGTGAAGTTGCTAATGTTTATCCGATTGTAACACAGCGACTACAATGACTTTGACAGACATGCGGTACTATTATTTATATTGTTGAACCTCTAACTTGCTTATTTGTATTTTAGACATCGGGTAGCAGTCTGAAAGAAGTGCTGGAGCAACTCTTGGAGGCCATAGTGTCACACACTGACCCCTCAGGCCACCTCGTCAGTGAACTATTCCAAAAACTGCCTTCCAAAGTGGTTAGTATTCAGACTTGTAATAATACCAGTTAATTGATCATACTTGCTTTCAGGGTAATAAAAGCACAACAATATCATGAGTTGACACATTAAACGTTCTGTATTCTTCTAATCTCTTTATGTAGCCTTGATTCCAAATTAAGGCCCCAAAGTATTATTTATTTCTTTTAATGCTGACATGTTTGATTGTTTTGTTTCACACCTTGTCTGTCCTTTGTAGCAATACCCAGACTACTATGCTATTATAAAAGAGCCAATCGATCTCAGAACGATTGCTCAGAGAATACAGGTAACCTGTTTACTCCTTTTCTGTTATGCTTTGCAAACAAACTTGTTTCACAGTTTTACATCTGCATACCGGTACTTGACTGTTTTACTTTATGTTAACAGATTGGATACTATAAAAGTGTTCATGCCATGGCCAAGGACATTGACTTGATGACCAAAAATGCCAAAACGTACAATGAACCAGGATCTCAGGTTTTCAAGGTGGAATCTTTTCTCTTTCATGATTTTGATATTTTAGTTGTTCCTAAAATAATCTAATCACGTTTTCCTATTTTACAGGATGCAAACACCATAAAAAAAGTCTTTATCCAACGCAAGACGGAACTCGAACATGCTGAGCCTACTAAATCTAGCATTCGTATCAGGTACTCGTATAGCTGCACTTCTTAAAACCACCAAATTACTCAGACAAATATGCTTTTAAATTTATGGCTCTCCTGCAGAAACCGCAAATCAGGACAAGCAGATCGCTTTTCTGGTGTCAGTGTTGCTCTTCATTATGGTTCGGAGAGCGAGGATGACCCTGTGCTTTCCGGTAAAATTCAGCAATTATTTTTGGACATGGAAAAAAAATAAAGCTACGTTCAAAAATAACAGTTCAAACTGTAAATGCTTACAGGCTCTGTCTGCTACGACGAGGGCGAGTCAGAGGCAGAGAGCCAGAGTTCAAGCATGGAGATGAGCAATCCAATCTTCCAGCTGTACGAAGCCGTGCGGGGGGCCCGGAACAGCCAGGGCCAGGCCTTCTCCGAACCTTTCCAGCAACTGCCGTCCCGCAGGGAGTATCCTGATTACTATCAGCAGATAAAACAGCCCATCTCGCTGCAGCAAATAAGGTTTACTACGTTTCGATTGACTTCATCGATTTTTCTTCAAATGATTGTTCTACTGGAAGTGTGTGTGGGCAAAAGGAGTTAAAAACAAGGTGCTACATTTACATTTTAGGGCAAAGATGAAGAATGGCGAGTATGACAGCGTGGAACAAATAGATGCCGACCTCAACTTGATGTTTGAGAACGCAAAGCGCTACAACATGCCCAACTCCAGCATATACAAACGAGCCTTTAGGCTGCAGCAGATTATGCAGGTAGTAATTAGTTGTTAAATGTGATAT